CCAATGTTCTCCTCTAGGACTTTAATGGTGTCATGGCTTATATTTAAGTCTTTTATCCACCTTGAATTTATTTTGGTGTATGGTGTAAGTTGGTGCTCAAGTTTCATTTTTTTGCACGTAGCTGTCCAGTTCTCCCAACACCATTTGCTGAAGAGGCTATCTTTACTCCATTTTATGTTACTGCCCCCTTTGTCGAATATTAATTGACTGTAGAGGGTTGGGTTGATTTCTGGGCTCTCTGTTCTGTTCCATTGGTCTATGTGCCTGTTTTTATGCCAGTACCAGGCTGTTTTGATTACAGTGGCCTTGTAATACAGTTTGATATCAGGTATTGTGATCCCTCCTACTTTGTTCTTCTTTCTCAAAAGAGCAGCTGCTATTCGGGCTCGTTTATGATTCCATATAAATTTTTGAAGTGTTTGTTCTATGTCTGTGAAATACGCCATTGGTACTTTAATAGGTATTGCATTGAATCTGTATATTGCTTTGGGTAGTATGGACATTTTGATGATGTTAATTCTTCCAATCCATGAACAAGGTATATGTTTCCATTTGTTTGTGTCTTCCTTGATTTCTTTCTTCAGTGCTGTGTAGTTTTCTGCATACAGGTCTTTTACCTCTTTGGTTAGGTTTATTCCCAGATATTTTATTTTTCTTTTTGCTATATTGAATGGGATTTTTTCCTTGATTTCCGCTTCTGCTGATTCATTGTTTGTATACAAAAATGCCTTTGATTTCTGGATATTGACTTTGTATCCTGCTGTTTTGCCAAACTCATTAATTAGTTTGAGCAGTTTTTGGGTAGAGTCTATAGGATTTTCCATGTACACTATCATGTCATCTGCAAACAGTGACAATTTTGTTTCCTCCTTTCCTATTTGGATGCCTTTTATTTCCTTTTCTTGCCTGATCGCTGTGGCCAAAACTTCTAATACTATATTGAATAGGAGTGGTGAAAGTGGACATCCTTGTCTTGTTCCTGATCTTAGTGGAAAAGCTTTTAGTTTTTGTCCATTGAGTATGATATTGGCTGTAGGTTTCTCATAAATGGCCTTTATTATATTGAGGAATGTTCCCTCTATTCCCATTTTGCTGAGTGTTTTTATCATAAATGGGTGTTGTACCTTATCGAAAGCTTTTTCTGCGTCTATTGATATGATCATGTGGTTTTTGTCTTTGCTTTTGTTTATGTGATGAATTACATTTACTGTTTTGCGAATGTTGAACCATCCTTGCATCCCTGGGATGAATCCCACTTGGTCAGGGTGTATAATCTTTTGGATATATTGTTGGATGCGATTTGCTAATATTTTGTTGAGGATTTTAGCGTCTATGTTCATCAGCGATATTGGCCTGTAGTTTTCTTTCTTTGTTGTATCTCTATCTGGTTTTGGAATTAGGATGATGCTGGCTTCATAAAAGGAGTTAGGGAGTTTTCCATCCTTTTGTATTTTTTGGAATAGTCTGTGAAGAATGGGGGTTAGGTCTTCCTTAAATGCTTTGTAGAATTCTCCTGTGAATCCATCTGGTCCAGGGCTTTTGTGTGATGGGAGTTTTTTGATTACTGCTTCAATTTCTTTTGCTGTTACTGGTCTATTCAGGTGTTCTACTTCTTTTTCATTGAGTTTTGGGAGATTATATTTTTCTAGAAATGTGTCCATTTCCCCTAGGTTCTCAAATTTCTTGGCATACAGTTCTTCATAGTAATTTCTTACAATCCTCTCTATTTCTGTGGTATCAGTTGTAATCTCTCCTCTTTCATTTCTGATTGTGTTTATTTGTGTCCGTTCCCTTCTTTTCTTGATGAGCCTACTTAAAGGCTTGTCTATTTTGTTTATTTTTTCAAAGAACCAACTCCTGGATTCATTGATCTTTAGAATTGTACTTTTTAGTCTCTATGTCATTTAGTTCTGCTCTGATCTTAGTTATTTCCTTCCTTCTACTTGCTTTGCGCTGTTTTTGTTGTTGTTCCTCGAGTTCTTGCAGGCGTGAGTAAGTTCATTTGTTTGAAATGTTTCTGTTTTCTTAAGGTAGGCCTGTATTGCTATAAACTTCCCTCTCAGGACTGCCTTGGCTGTATCCCATAAGTTTTGGGTTGTTGTGAGATCATTTTCATTTGTTTCCAGAAACTTTTTGATTTCTTCCCTAATTTCATTCTTGACCCATTCATTGTTTAATAGCATACTGTTCAGTCTCCATGATTTTGGGTGTTTTGGGTTTTTTCCTTTGGGGTTGGTTTCCAGTTTCAGTCCCTTATGGTCAGAGAAAATGCTTGGTATGATTTCAATATTCTTGAATTTGTTGAGGCTTGTTTTGTGCCCTATCATGTGATCTATCTTTGAGAATGTTCCATGTGCATTTGAAAAGAATGTGTATTTAGCTTCTTTGGGGTGAAGAGCTCTGTATATATCAGTTAGGTCCATTTCATCAAGGGTGTTGTTTAATGCCACAATGTCTTTGTTGATATTTTGTTTGGAAGATCTGTCCATTTTTGATAGTGGGGTGTTAAAATCCCCCACTATAATTGTGTTGCTGTCTATATCTTTCTTGAATTCCTCTAAGATTTTCCTTATATATTTTGGTGCTCCTATGTTGGGTGCATATATATTTATGATGTTAATGTCTTCTTGGTGGATTTTTCCCTTGAGTATTATGAAGTGACCTTCTGGGTCACTCTTAATGGCTCTTTTTTTGAAGTCTATTTTGTCTGATATGAGAATTGCTACCCCGGCTTTTTTTTCTTGTCCGTTTGCTTGGAAAATTTGTTTCCAGCCTTTGATTTTTAGTCTGTGATGGTCTTTTGTCCTGAGGTGGGTCTCTTGTAGGCAGCATATGTGTGGATACAAAGAATCTTAACAAAGTATGTACTACCATGCAATTTTTAAAAAAAGATTTTATTTATTTTCAGAGAGAAGGGAAGGGAGGGAGAAAGAGAGGGAAAGAAAAACATCAATGAGAGAAACATTGATTGGTTGCCTCTTGCAGGCCCCCAGCTGGGGACTGGGCTGCAACCCAGGCATGTGCCCTGACTGGGAATTGAGCTGGGGACCTTTCGATCTGCAGGCCAGTGCTCAATTCCATGGAGCCACACCAGCCAGGGACTATCATGCAATTTTTTAAGTTAATAACAAAGTGTTGCATAGTAAGTTTAAATATTTTCAAAGAATGTAATTTGGATCATATTGCAAATATTTCCATTTTAAAATGAAAACTGTTTCTTTTGTAAAGGTATACAATTGAATCTAAACACTATAACAACTGATATCCATCAATTTGATTTTTAAAAACAGACTTTAACTTATAGAAATTTGTCTTTACTTTTTTCTTCGGACTTCAATTTTTTTGTATTTTACCCACTACATTTTATTTAACCCAATACACTTTAACCAAAAATAGTGACATTTCAACACATAGTTAATATTTTTAAAGTAATTATTTAGTAAGGTATTTCACATCCTTTTTCTCCCCTACTCAGTTTTGAAGAATCTGCTATGTATTTTCCACTGGCAGCATAGAATTTCACTTGAATGTATAGAATTTTGCTTGAAAAGACTTCATTGATTATACTATCACAGTTATCTTCAAGGAAATGTACCTCAATTAAAATTTTAAAATTTTATTTTCTATTGCTATAAATATCTTAACATTAAAAAACCTGTGTCATTGAATTATTATTATTGGCAATACACTACTGGTTAAAACGATGTGAATAAATTATACTGAGTATTAAATGCAAAAGTGAAACTATACTGCAAATGCGTCTTTTAATGAGATGACAAACTTTTTCAGCTCATTCGTGCATCTGTAGGTGAATATTACTTATTGCTAGAGTGAGATAGGGTTCAGCATCAATTCTATTTCCAATTTTTTTGGTTTTTATAGATGTAAGCTCTAAGAGTTGAAAGTATTTTATTAGAGCAATATATATCAATTCTTTGCATTCTTTCTACATTGTATGCCAAAATTCATATAATGATCTCTTATCAAAAAAGTATTTTTAATCTTCTGTCACCTGACACCTGGATTTGGTCCTTCGTCATTCCTATTATAAGCGGGGAACTGGAAAGCACCCGACTTACAAAGAGATTTGTTCTTGTCATTAGAATAAATCACTTGCTCCATTTCTGGGAAATACATCAAGAAAGCTCTACTAAGACCTATTAAATTATTGTTAATTATGCTCTAACACTTTCACTCAGGCCCAGCTTTTTACATCTCGATCTTCAAAAGTGACAGAAAAAACATATATTAATTTCATTATATTTTACCAAAATAATGCTTTTTGATAAAATGCTTTGGACTTATTTCTTGTTTTAAATATATCACCATTAGTCTGAAGCTGGAGATTTAACTCATTGATGGACAATGTCTACCACAGACCTCATTTCAGATTGGCAAATCTTCACCGTCAGACCAGTTAGCCAAATTAGACATACTTTCTGTCACACACACAAAAAATCTTTGACTTCATTTATCAATTCAAATAACTATTTTGAGAATTGTAAAAATCAATGAGAATTAAAAGCATATCTTCTGAAATTGATTGCCAAAAACCTGAGAATTAAGAGCACATCTCAGAAAATTGATCAGTAAAACAATCAAAATGAAAATGATGTAGATCTAATATAATTATTCTCTGCTTAAATAAGTTATAAAAGATGACTGATACACTCTCACAAAAAGTAGCACGAACGGTAACACAGAACATGTAATTACCTGGTACAGCCGGGCCAGGCACCCAAATGCTGCTGCCTGGCTCTGGAGAATGAGTAAGAGCTGCTGGAAGGGCCAAATGCCACCAATAATACCACAGTTCTAGGCCGCTTATCGGTCCAGCAGCACATAATTATTTTGTTGTTATTATGAAAAGATATGGATTTTACAAAATAAACGATGATGATGATTTGCATATTTGAAATAAATATTTTATGTTATGAGTTGATACAAGAGGTTTTGACAACTCTGTTAACGAAAGCACTTCAAATCTGGAAGAAACCACGTGAAAGTTTATCCTTGGGTTTTATTCATTTTATCTTGTAAAAAGTTGGTATTTTCAAAAAGCACTTTAATTACATTTAAACTAACCTATGTTACAAACCAATATTGCTTTAGCTTTTCTAAGTTACTTTTCTTCCCAGTTAAAATATATCCTAGACATGAGTAGGGGGTATAGTGGAAAATAACTGTTTACAATTACATGAGTGCATTTTTGGTAGTTAATGTGCCCCACAGATTTTCCCTTTGCTTTACTCTCTCAGGACTCTCCTTCAAGAGCAGGGCATTCTTTGATCAGCATTAGGGGGTGAAAGAGGAAAAGGCATGAAGTTAAAATCTTCATTATTTCCATCATTCTGTCATGTATCTGAATTCTGAAAATCCATATGAGTTCAAACACTTCATTTCTGAGTCTTCTAACATATTGTTTTTAATGTGTGTATAAGAAGGAAAAGCCCAACATTCTATGTATTTATAGCTAGTCATTAAAGGAAACTTTCTCTTTGTTTGTCACATCTGAGGTTTTTGTGTGTTATTAAGGGCAATGTATCATAAGATTTAGGATAGGTGAAATGTATCTGTATACTTTTGTAATTTGGGGAAAGGACTACCATGGACGGACACAGTCTCAGCCAATCAACTTTAGGAAAGAGTATAGAGGATCTGGAAAGACTTCGTGTAACCCTGAGGGACACGTTTTAAGCCCAGGCTCTAAAAGGATGCTGAATTTATCAGACTCCGGTACAGCCTAATCAGATGCAGTCCAATATACATATTTTTTTTTACAATTGAGGGGTGGGGAGTAGAGCCGGGCCTGCAGCAGCCTGTCTGGGGAACAGCAACGAGGGGCCTGTCTCCAGTCTTACTCCTAGGCCTGCACGTGCTCTGTGCTCTCAATCATAAGGGTCGTGTGCCCAGACCTTTGTCGACGAACATGCACATCGCTATCCCCTGGAACCAGGAGACAAGTGTTGCAAACTCACACACCAGAGGAAGAAGGCAAGTGATGGAAAGGAATGAAGTTAACCCTTTAAAAGAAAATAAAAGGTGTACAAACTGGGTCTTGGAGGGGGCACACCTCACCCAAGGTGGAGGCTAGTCCAATGAGCTGGATACCATTTCAGGCATTATTCACTCTGGCTTTGCTGGCTGAATTTCTTCCAATAACATTTTCTAAATATTCCTTTTGAGAGCTAACAGCCCTCGTATTTGCAAACGAAGGCTCTGCAGCCCTGATGTTATGGTGTCTGGATAGTCTCCTCACACACCTTCAGTCTCTGGGGCTTCAAGGACCTCAAGGATGGTGTGCTGGTTTTAAAACGTGTTGAGAAGTTCTTTGATGCTCCTCCCTTGAGGAGGCAGAGCTTCACTTCCTCCCTGTGAGTGTGGGCTATACTTAGTGACTCGCTTCTAATGAACAGAATATGATGGATGGCGGTGACTTCTGAGACTAGGTCACCAGCAGTGTGGCTTGAGCCCAGCTTTCTCTTGAATTACTTGCTCTGAGGGAAGCCAGAGGTCATGAGGACACTTACGCAGCCCTATAGAGAGGCCCACAAGTGGAGGAACTGAGTTCTCCTGCCAACGAACACACGAGTGAGCCGCAGTGGGAGCAGATTCTCCAGTCCTGGTCAAGCCTTCAGATGAATGCGGCCTGCTGAACTCTTGATTACAAGCTCATGAGAGACCCTGACTCAGAACCAACTGCTAGCCTGCCCCTGAATTCCTGCCTGGAATCCATGAGATAAGGAAGGTTTGCTGATTCCAAGTGCAGTGATTATAATGTGTCACGTGCCAACAGATGACTGACAAAGACGGGCATAAAGCAAGCCAGGCCATGCCACCCCATGTCACCTCTCTCTGTGAGGGGACACAGAAAGAAAGATGTACCCCCTCACAGCTGTGAAAACATATGGGTGATGGGAGCCTGTCTGGGGAAGAAAACAGTGATTGGTTGTTATAAGATGAAAGGTAATTAAGTTTAAGAAGGACTTCTATACCCGCAAGTACTAACCTCTGGGTGGGATTACTGAAAGAGGTGGCAGTCGCTCCATTTTAAAAATTCTCTTTCAGATTGAACAAATTATGATTATTTGGTAGCAGTTGAGATTTAATTCTGCCCTAAAGCTCCTTTCTCTTAAGAAGGTTAAAAGTTCAGGGTAAATAGGAAACAACGCAAATCTGAGATGTGCATTAATTTCAAAAGAAACTCCCCAATGTAGATGTCCCCCTGACCTCAGAGGGGTCAAGACCGAAGCTTTCTCGGACAGCATCAGGGCCCTCCCTCCGGGGGCCAAGCTCCCTGTCTGCAGCAGCACAACTGCTGCTCGTCCCCCTCCTCTCTCAGCCTCCTGTCTCAGGGCCTTTGGTCAGGTGAAACTCTGGTATCTGAACCCAACCAGCCAATAAGAGCAACTTACGTGTGATTCCAGTTGAAGTGATACTCACAATGGATGAGAAGAGAGCAGCGGGCATTTCTCATGCACAGGAGGAGCATGAACCCCCCGGATGGCAGGGTTTCGGGGTCACACCAGACCTCCAAAAGGTTCTGGTGATGCCGCCTCACCATCTGTAGATTCCAGGTGTCTGGGCACATAGGAGACTTAGCTCCAATTTTTTACCATCTTACAAGCATAAACCTTTTGTCTGTTTGTAAGTGAGGTCAGGTATTTTTTGGCACAGATAAGGAACGCCACAGAGTACGTCCTAATGATAAATAGTAAGACTGTGGGAGTGCCCTGAAAGGGGAAGAAACTGTGTAGAAATAAAAGGGTTTTGGTTTAATTCTTCTCAGTACCCAGAGGCTGCTCTGCAAATCCCACCCTAAGGAGGCAGTGCCCGGCCCCTATCCTCATAAAACCCTCCGAAAGGAAAACGCATGAAAGGCAGAACTGATTTGATCCTTTTTGATATCCGCCCTTGGGCCTACTTTGGGGGCTCCGAGAACACATGAATTAACATGAACCAGTGAAAGCATTCCAAAGTAGGCCTTTCCAATGACGAGCCAAGCCAGTTACCTTACAGCTTGTATATTTATTGAACAAAGACTACTAAAATAGCTAAAATACATTGGGTACTTGTCATGAGTGCATCAGTAAAGATCACATTGTTACAAAAGCCTGCATTTTCAGCAGCACACAACTGCAACTCTACATAAATGCCACAGATGCAGAATACTGTTCTTGCTCTATTTACACAGCTGATATACCTATTCTAACAAAGAAGGGAGCGGGGAAATGCACGAGAAACTCAGGCCAATGGGGGAGCGAGAAGAGAACGAAGAGGTGCAGCGCATGCATCGTCAATGAGTAACAGTCGGAAGCGGAGCAGTTCAGAACAGAGCCTGCCCTGTCAAAGGAAGAGCTAAAAGACAGTTATATAAAAATTAAGGTGGGCTTTCAGACTGGCTAATGCAACAACATTCCGTGAGAAGATGGTATTTCTGATTTTTTTGTTTGTTTATCCATTCCATTGGGAGCAAGGACAAAAATGTAAAATCTACACCTTGCTTATCAAAACTGTGGAAAAAGAATGTTCTGTCTTTTAAAAAAAAATTTGTAGACACTTTTTCCAACCTAATTTTTGGGAAAGGTGTAATTTTGCTATTCCGACTCAGACGCCAGTGTTTTGGGGTTTTTTAGAGGGCATTTATTAAAAATGGAGTTTTCCCTTTCCCCCCAAATATTCTCTCAAACAAAAAGAACCAAGAGAGACACCTAAAAACGCCTGCCCAATTATTGCTTTTCTTTCTCTAAGTTAGGTGGGCGAGGCTACCCAAAGGAAGAGATTTGGTAAGTAAATTACAGTTTTGTGATTGCTCCCACTACGGCGGCGGCGGGTCCATGAGTGCCAGCCCATGAGACGTGGTCTCTTACACTCTCTCCGGCAGCATTCACTCAACCTACAACGCTGAAGAAGAAAGCCACACTGAAGAACAAGGAAAACAAGTCAGTCCAGTCTAGAGAACAACATTCAGGGAAACAGAGTACCAACACCTTCTTAGAACATGGAAATAAAAAATAACTCCATCAGAGCTACCTCGCCAAGGAGCATGTTGAAAGTCCAAAATAGCACCATTCATCAGTGTCTCAGGTCCTGTGGCAGCATCTCGGTCACTTACCACAAGGAAACAATGAGTTTCAAACTACTTCTATACATCAAAAGAGTACATGGGTAAAATATAGAGATATACAGACAATTGATGAACATAAACTACTTGTTACATCTAAATGAAAAAAAAAAAAAAATGGGGACTCTCAGCCTCTGCAGGAAGCAGTCGGAGCCGTGTGGGTGCCGAGGCAGGAGTGGGCCGGTTGTGTGAGAGCAGTGGGAGTGTGAGTTGTGGAAGACGTCGTCGGAGCGAACCAGGCCTGAGGGCCCACCTGTAAGGGTTGTAAACGTGGATTCACAGTGTGAAATTCTGAGCGTTTTCACTGGAGTCAGAATGATTAAAAACGGATTTGATGATACCTATTGACCACTGTAAATTCTCTAAAGCAAGGCTCAGAGTCCCATAGTTTCTTCTTATACTTGATGATTTACACAGAAAAAAATCCCATATATGATACCATGACCTCATCAATACCCATACACCATACGTAATACAAATGGAGGTGTTATGATTAAAAAGAGTGGAGGTAACCGATTCTCGGGGAGTGGAGTTCACTGCTGCCGAGCGGAGTCAGGGAGGCGGCCCCAGTCTCGCCATTCTTCTTGCGGCCCACTCCCTGTGGGGCGGGAAGTCTTCCCTGAAAAGCAGGAGGACCCAGACACAAACAGACGGACACACACAAAAGAGAGACACACTTAGTCATGCTCTGAAACCATTTGAAATTTTTTTTATCCTTGAACTCCCAATGTTTTGCAAACAGAGTTTACATATTAAACACAGTTCACCTGAATGTAAATATTAGGTCTACGGGGGCATGAAGTATAATAATTAAACACTAGCTGCCTTGGCTTCGCCAGAATCAAGTGCTTCTCTAAGGGCTGAGCCCAGCCATGCGGGAGGCGGCATTCCCCAAGGGTCGGGTGTCTGAGGTCAGCATCGGCTGGGGCCTGACCCGGAGCTGGGTGAGAGGTGCTCACTGGAGTTTTTTTACAAAGAGTTCAGTTTTTTACAAAGAGTTCAATGGCTGTGATGGAGTAGGGGAATTGTCTATTTTCTAATATATAATAAAAATATTTAAAAGCATATCAGAAATTGCACAAATGTAATTTATGTATGGCTTGTTCGATTAGCACTGGCACAATCCAGGTGGGCCTCGTGGTCAGAAGTGGAGGCGGGAAGCCACGGTGGGAGTGTTTGGGAGGGAGGCAGTGTGGGGCTGGGGTGGGAGGCGTGCAAGAAATGAGAGAACAGTGTGAAACCGAGGCCGGAAGAGAGAGACTCAGCTAGTTTGGACTGACTGGGTGAGGTCTTTATGTTTCTGATGAAAATAATCCAAGCGCAATGCAACTGATGACCCTCCGAGCACCGGTGGAGAGAAGCGCCCCACAGGAACTGAGTGGCGGGAGGACGGACAGCAAACCCCCCCGTTTGGTGCCAGATGATATAAGGGAGGTCTCACTTTGCTGCAAATGAACTGGATACTCTCAACGGATATGAAGATAGTGATTTGACAAGTTCCTCCTTTAGAAAAACCATTAACTACTGGAATTTCTGTGGGAAAAAAATTACCCATTGTGGTTTTAAAAAGATCATTTTTTTCCCTTTTTCGATCAGGTCACATATTTTAACAGGACATGTATAATAAACTATTTTGACTGGATATAATAACTTTGATTAAAGTGATAATCTTGCTTTGTGATCTGTAAATGATCACATTTGAATTTTTTTTTAATAAGAATTCAGACATCAGGAACTTCCTAACAACTTGAAATTGAATAAATATTTTCAGCAGCCTCAGAGTGAACTAATGTGGATGCACAGCCACAAATAATTCAACTTCGAAAAGTCATATTTACTGTATAGATTTTTCATATTAATCAACTGGTATGCCTAAATGTATTTAAAAATCTCAGACATTGAGATTATACAACATCTTTAAGATGTATATCAAATCCACTCAGTATGTACTTTATTCCAGTCTTATCTTGTGATTTAGACGTTGTTTTGGTATAATTAAGTATCAACAGAACCAAACCAGAAAATTAAATTAAAATATAGTTCACCACAAACACACAGTTAAGGATCTAGATAAATTTCCAAAAGCATTATATTGGGCCCTTCCTTTGAGTTGTGAAAATAAGTTCAACCTTGAAATTTTGGCATACAACCCCAAGACTAAAAATAGAAAAGAAATACACTGTAATTTTGGTGCCTTTAAAATATTTGTTCCTCATCCCCCATCAAGCAGTTAGCATGTGCAGTTCAAGATACTACAAACTTAAGTTTTAGACAGTGAAGAATTCAATGATCCAAAATTTTCACAGGCCAGAAAGGAAAATCAGAAGTTCGCAAACATCATTTCACTCAATGACTACCCTCTGTACATGACTGGGCTCAAATTGCTAACTTCAGTTCAGGCTTACTCTGTTCAAAAGTGAATATGAAGAGCATTCGTCCATCTCTATATAAATCTCAAGTCTTACTAATCTTGTACCTCCATAGAAAACACACAAGAAAGCAAAATAAAGAGCTGAGTGGCATCTGGATAATTTGGAAAGAGGTTATATCCAGGGAAAAAAATGTGAAGGAGATTATTTCAGATGGGAATCTACATTTTTACTACTTTTCTCTCCTGTGAGGGTCCCCAACATTCCTGTCTTCATTTATTATTCATGTTCTGAGTACCTATTATGACTTGAGTATGCTGTTAGATTTTAAACTGACAGAGATTAAAACAGAAACCAAAACAGTCCCTTCCCACCCTGGTCTTCATTAACTTGCTACAGGGAGATGGCCAAGCACAGCCGGACAATGGCAAGCAGCGTGTAAGCCATGCAGGGGCTCCACAACCCAACAGTCTGTGGGGGAGGGGTGCTGGTGGGCAGACCAAGTTCTGCACAGCCTCCCACTGGAGCCTAGAATTTACTAGATTTCAATCATTACCTCCTGTCATTCATTAAAGAAAAAAAATAAAGAATAGTCTTCCTATCCCCACTAAAGGAATTTTAGGCTTATGTAGCAAGGAAAGGAGGCATTTTGAAGTGGGAACCCAACAGTGTCTTATTTCTCCAGAAGTCAGGCCTTTTAAAAATTCAGGCAAAAATAATCCTACCTTCTCCCATCATCCAGCACATATGGTCCCTAGAGGACTGAGGAACTTCAATAATCTAGAAGGCTGGAGGAGGGAGCGATGTGTCCAGTGGCTCCCACAGACGGGCTCCCCTGGATGCCCCAGCAGCTGAGCTACCTGGGGATGCATGCCCCTCTGGGTTGACGACTGTTAGTATATGAATCCCCCAGGTACTCAATCCGGTGCCACGGACCAAGTCAGTCAAGCTCATTTTTCTTATGATTATATAAAGATGTGCTTTTCCAGAAGGAAACTGCTGGGAATAGGACAAATATATTATGCTTAAGATACTATTCACCTATTTAGAAAGGAAAGAACTTAAAATAACAGAAGGCCTGAATTGCAGGATCCATTGTATCAACTGCAGGCAAGGCCTGGGACCCGGACCAGCCTTCCAAGAGGAAAAAGAGGCACTACTGACTCACGGAGGGACTTGCCTACTCTCGTCTCTCCTGTGATCCTCTCGCCAGTACCACACAGAGAGGATACCTGGGTGCCTGTATGGGGCAGGAACTAAAGAAAAGACTATACTCTCTCTTGCCCCTTCCATTATCATGTCTCACCCTCAGTGGCTCAGGGAAATTTTACCCTGAGCCGGCCCTGCAAAGAATGTCTACCATTTTACAGCAATGCTGGTGATACGGTGCTAGGGGATGGCGGGGTGCAGGTGTGTTTCAATACACCTTCCTCTCCAACTCTACAGCATCAGCACAGGCCTAGCTCAGACAGGGGCAAAGTCATTTTCTTCACCTACTTTCCTGCCAGTGATTTCAACCTTGACCTTCAGAAATTGTCTGAACAATTAAAAGCAATTTAGAACTGCTTTCTTTGAGTGCAAACTGCCAGTTGACACAATCTCTTTAAATTCTGCCTGCCAGTAGAAGATAAGAGAGTTGCTGAAACCACGTAGTGTAAATAAGAGTTTTCAAACACTGAAACATCAGTAATAGCTGGGTAGGCCTCATCACTGGTCAGGTGCACATACGAAACTTTTAAATGTTTATTTTTATTTTCAATGAACTTTATTTGTTTTTATCAACTGCAAAATCAGGAGGTCAGTGGTAGAAGTACAATCCTCCTACTTAATGGTCATATGATATTTACCATAACAAGCAAAGTCCAAAGTTATCTATAGTAAAAATTGGTAAAAGATTTTTAAATGTTTTTGTTGGAGGTTTTTTTTCCAGAAATGGTGCTAAAATCTAAAATGTAAATTTTACAGTTTCTGTAGGGCAGAGAATTGTCACATCTAAGATGTTTGCACAATGAAAGAATGTTTACAGAAAATATTTTAGGCCTAAAAATGAAAAGAAAGAACTATAGCAGTTTTTTTTAACATTCTTTCTGTTTTGATTCATGGATCATTTTATCAAACATTCCGGCATTATTTGCAGACAACACTGTTCTCACCTTATCCCTTTAAGATATCTTTCAGTTTGAGCATTGTGTCTGACTTTCTCTATCCGAGAACAGAACAAAAAATGAAAAACCTGTATAATGCACATTGGCTCCATGGTTATTAAATGAAAATTTGCTTTGGACTTGTCAAGAAAGGAAGGTAGTATGAACTTTAAGTATCACAGGACTTTAGGATATGATTCTTTTTGTAGTATATGTTTGTTCCGAGGTCAAAATAGTATCAGATAAATGCATTATGATTGAAGACTATAATGAATATTTAAAATAAAAATGAGTAACTGATTTTTTTAATTGCTCCTAAATTGAAAACAATTAAAATATAGCAGCTAAGGATCTTACCTTAGGAAGCCTTCCCTCCATTTCCTTATTTGGAAATGGCTCTTGGCTGACCCAGACCGAGAGATCTGGGTAATAAACCTGTGAGAGACACAAGAGCACACACATTTAGATTAAAGACAGCATCCACTTTGAAACCACCTGTGATCAGCTTTAATGAGCTCAATCTTCCTCAGCAATCACTTACTTCCCAACTGCAGCTCTAGAGTGCTGGGGAAGCCCATCTACTCTGTCAGACTCTTGATGTGTTTCTGAATGTTGGCTGCACTCGGGAGAGTTCAGCTCTATGTCTTCCCAGACTAAGTCCAAGAGAGTGGAGATATCAATCAATGTTATCTTCAGCACGCCAAGGGGCAGCCTCCTGGCATGACTGGATGAGCAAAGAAAGGCACTGGGGATACCTAACTTTCAAAGCAGCCTATGATAAGAATCTCTGCAAAATCCCATGTTTATGAGATAAATGTGCCATGCACCCATCAAACACTGTTAGGGGTTATCCTGACCACTCTGTAGAAGGCTTGAGATTATGCACAGGGCATAAGGAGGAAAGGAAGCAGCAGCCTGCATTCTCCCAGGGCCATGTAGCCCCTGACAACACACTGCCCAGCTGCCTTGAAGGTAGCAAAGTGTCTGAGTGAGGAGCAGGGAGATGGGCAGCATCACTACAGATGATTCAGAGAATACTAGCTGATGGATTTAGGGGTGAGGTGGAGACAGTGAGTGGAACTGAATAACTCTCCTTTAACTGTCTAGACAAAGGGTTATTACTGTAAGAAGTTTGTCAACCAGCTGTTCTCTATCTCCTGGGAAGACAGGGGTTGGGGATCAGGACTTAAACTATAGCAGATTCAGGTCAGCCATAAGAAAGAACTTGGCAGCAAAATTGCTAAATTGCTAAAAAGAATTCAGAGAGGAAAAAATGTGAAATCTACTTTAAGAAATTAGAAACAGAATTTAACAACCTAATTCAGGGCTAATTCACATTTGATACAGGCCCTTCTTGAAGGGAGGGGAGGAAATTAGGTAAGATTTCCCCCAGATCTGATTCTCTAAATACTGTCTGGAAAATAGGTTTAAGTCCTATCCTACATTTATTAATACTCACGTTTAATAAATAATATTAAGAATCACACCTCATCAATAGGTTAACAAACAGACTTACATGTTGTTTTTTATTTGGGAAGCCCAGATGTGATAGCCTAACCCCTGGGATGACATGTTTGCAATGTCCCAATCAACCCATTTGCTCAGGAGGTGTGAGGTACGAAATGTGGATGGATGTGTTGGTTCCTTGGGATAGTCTGTGGTGACTTCACGCTACTCCAGTAACATTTATGGCACATCCCAGTTCACAGAGCGATTTTGCATAAATTACCTAACTCATCCTGACAATAAGCCTGTGATAGGTCTTAACATTACACAGGTGAGGAAACTGAAATTCAAAGAGGTCACCAGACTCGCCCAAAGTTATAAGGTCAGTGTAGGATAGGACTTAAACCTGTTTTCTAGACCCTAAGCTTCAGTTCTTCCCACTATCCTGATGTTCTTGAATTATCCCAGAATGCAAATGGCCTACCACAGCTCAAAAACTACAGAGTCCACAGCCAACACATACATTCAGGTCTTAAATATTTTGAGAGCTCATCCAGGAAGAACTGCACCTATTTTCTGACTTAGTACTGAGTCTGTTTTCCAGGCCATTTGCCTCCCCCAAAGCCAATCTCCTTCCTCTTGCTCAGCTCTCCCCTCCTCTGACCAACTGCTTCTGGGAGAACTCCACCATCTGCCTCATCTGGGACAAAGAGCCACCCTGACATGTCCTGTCACCAGGAAGGGGTGAAGAAAACAAACAAATCCCAGTTTGGGCTGAATTTTAAGAGGCCCTACATTGGGATCAAAGGTAAGGCTCTAAATCAAAACAAAAAATTATAAATCAATAATAGTAATTACATTTCTACATTACTACTTTTCTTTTTTTAAGTATTTTATTGTTTATGCTATTGTAGTTGTTCCATTTTACCCCCTTCGCCCCGCCTCCACCCAGTCCACCTGCTACTTCCACAGTCTATCCCCACACCACTGTCCATGTCCATGGGTCCTTCATGTATGTTCTTTGACTAATCCCTTCACTTTCTTTCAATCAGTCCCCACTGCCCCTCCCCTTTTACAGCTGTCAGTTTGTTCCATGTTTCTATGCCTCCAATTCTACTTTGCTCATTAGTTTATTTCGTTCACTAGATTTCACTTAAAAGTGAGATCATATGGTATTTGTCTTTCAGCCACCGGCTTATTTCACTTAGCATAACAGTCTCCAGTTACTACTTTTAAAAGCACGCTTTAAGTACCATTAAAAATATTACACATATTAATGAGATATAAAGTTTTCCTGTAAGCCCAAAACATTGATAAAAATATACATAAAAACTTCGTAGACACATGGACACAATGAAAAGAAAAATCAAGTAAACATTGTTATGTTTGTGTTCTTGTGATTTTCTGTGATATTCTATTTCAACAGAATCATGTTGTTCTACCATTTAACTTCTAGGTTCACCCAAGTCTGATTTGTAGTGAAAAAATAGCTTGCCTCTCAGAAATTAGTATACTTATTCTTACAATTTATTTTTCCAATAACTTAACTTTCCTTTTAAAAAAAAAGAAAAATTGTCAGTGACTTTTTGCCAAAGAACTCAGGAACACGAGCATCTTACAGTGAAACCCACAAATGAGAAAACTTCCCCACTTGCCTCAAATTTGCTCTTTGGAAACAATTTAGCTACAGATTTGACACGGGTATTTCTAATTAGGCATTTTTTACTGTCTGACTCATAAAGTAATCATTGCATACTTTAGGCAAAATAAATGACGCTCTGGCCTTGTGGTAAATTCTTTGTATCTTTCAGAATCAGAACTTTAAGCCCAAACGGCAGAGACAGAGGAGCTTGTTACCTTCTGAAAACCTGCTTGGCTGGTCTCTAAGAGCTCCGCATTAACCTGCACATGGTATCTAAAGGAGACACTTAAACTTCCTTTTGCGATTTTGGAAAAAGGTAGATTATTGGAAATATATGCTACGTACATTACAGCTTTTTTATACTTGTAGTGTTCTGAGACTCTTAAATGAAGGACTTAAAAGAAAAAAATCTATGACAATTATTACCCTTTCTCTCACATAATTCGAAACACCTTCACTCACGCGTGCATTCACCACGAGTCTGTGAGTCGCCCACAGTGCACTGGACACTGTTGGGTTCTGGGGACTGCAGGAAGAGAACAGAGGACCTGCCCTCTAGGAGCTCAAACAGGCAGGGGTGGGGGTAGCGCAGGTGTGAAGACCTTCTAAAAGATCACTTTAAAAGTCTGTGGTAGGAGCTGCATCCGGTCCTCCTCCACCCCAAATCCATTCGTTGAAGTCCTGACCCCTAACACCTCAGAATGAGCCTATAGTTGAAGACAGTCTTTAAGGAGGTCATGAGGGTGGGCCCTAACCCAACAGGACTGGTGTCCTTCTAAAGGAGGCCATGGGGTGCAGACACAGAGAGGGAAGGTGATGTGAAGAATCAGGGAGAAGGGGACAAGCCAAGGGGTGAAGTCTCGGAAGAAACTGACCCTACCAACACCTTGCCCTCAGAGTTCCAGACCCCAGAATTGTGAGAAAGGGCCTTCTGTTCTTTAAGCCAGCCAGTCTGCAGTACTTTGTTTTGACAGCCCCAGCAAACTAATACAGTACTTTAAGTGCAATTTTTTTAAAAAAAAGTATAGTTCATGTCAAATGTAATAGCTGTTGGAACATGTATCAACAAGTAAAAACAAACAAACAAAACCAACATTTAGCAAAGCATCCAGTAGCGCGGTCAGCGAAGGAGATGTGGGTGGCAGCAAGCAGACTGGAGAGACTCCACAGGCTGCTGCGTCCTGTTTGTTACCTGGGCCAGAATATGGGGAGCTGACAATGACCCTGACCAGTGAGGTTGCTGAATACTGATAATACCTGGGCCAGAAAACAGGGAAAAGGCAATCTGTCTTTCCGGAGTCCTGTGCTTGCTGGACCCGAAAGCTGTTTGTTCTTCTTGGTACTGGTCAATTGGTGTCCTGAAGGCAGACACACAGCTTAAATTGTATTGCATTTGCTCACTTTTCTGGATTCAAGCTGTGTTTCTCACGAACATCAATTAAAGTAATGTTTTAATGTTTTTAACTTCACTGAACTTTCTCTCTCTTTATGGTGGATCTCAGAAATGTAAGCGATCTGGGTGGTCCACACAGGAACACCTCAAAACTGTTGTTTTATTAAATACATAAGCCAAGTGCACCTCGATCTTGAGAAAACAAGTATGTGTCCTCTTAAAAAAGTGTCTTCCATGTATAAAATAAGCATGTTTGTTCTTGCTCAAGTGAAATCCTCAAAACTCTCCAGAACAGCAATTTTCAACTGTGTGCTGCAAGGATTTTTAAACATGCAATACCCAACTATACAGTCAGGGGCACTGACCTCTTTTCCATTACATTGTCAAATAAAAAAAGTGAGAACAGCCAACACAACGATAGGGGTCCAGTGTGGCTGAATCAAAATTACACCTATTTTTTTTGGTCAGATCTGAAAAAAATTTTTTTTGGTGTGCCACAGAACTTTAGTAATTAGTCTATGTGTGCCACGAGGTGGAAAAGGCTGAAAATCACTGCTCTGAAAGACTGTTCTTCCAGAAGTCAGAAATCAGAAAGGCAAGCTCTATTCTCAACAATTGAGAAAACACGGTGAAAATGTAGAGGGAAAGGAAAACTCTGTTGTGTTAAATTACAGATCAGGCAAAAGGTTTTGTTTAAATTCTGGGAAAGGCTGAGTGTTTATGCTTATCACTGAATATGTTAGTTAATGCACCTTTTCCCACAATGCTACACTTATGTCACTGATGACTACATTGAAAACAACTGAAAAGCCACAGTGATTTAAATACGCTAGTCACGCTAGATATGCATTTAAATATCCATGAGCAACTCTTAGGTAAAAGCAATTTTTTTGCTTTCGAGTGTACTTAACATATTTAAACCCACAATATATTTAAATACAGTTTAGTGGTGAA